CACACACACACACACACACACACACACACACACACACACACCATGGACTGTAAATAAGATGGATGACATGTCTCCACTTTCATAAAAGGGTTACGGTCTCACTTTCAGAGAGCTGGCATGTTGTCCATCTTTATATAGTCTGTTCCAAATAAACAAAGATAAGAGACATTTACATAGTATGTCATGTTGTGTTGTATTGATTCCAGTGTTGTCTTCCAGTAAAATGGTACCAGGACCACCATGACTTCTGGTCAGACGCTGGCGAGGGCCCAGGACAAATCTGAGGCAACCTCACGCTTTGACTGACGGGTTGAAGACTGACGGAGTCACCAGGCAGTGACGTTATTTTTTAAAAATTTCCTATGACACAAATTGTATTATGGCTGATTTACAGCTCAAATAACTGCTGCTTCTTTCCCCTCAATGTTATGTCTTAATGATCGTTGGACCAACAGGCCCTGAGGTGCAGAGCCTCTTTTAAACCAAAACTGGAAATGAACGCACTTTACCTCGATGTTAATTCCAGATTCAGCTGATGTGGATCTGTTCTGCTCAACTTTGGCTTGTTCAGTTTTTATTCACACGATTTAGATAATTTAAAAATAAACTCCTGACGACCCAACAAGTTTTAGCAGCTGTATCTTAACATTCAAAACTTGAACAGTATTTTGTGTAAAGATATTTTTTTTATAACAGCAGGGTCATGTTTACTACAGCCAATTTTAAGTACTTTCATTTCAGATGTTTTGCTGAAGAATATATTTAACCACAAATAAAGTTGATATTTAATAACTTGTGGTGTCTGTCTGTTTTTCTCAAACATGTAGAAAACACACACTGAGGTAGAGGAAGAAGAAGAAACATCACAACCAGTAACATTTGCAAATCCAAACCTTTATTTGTGGTAAAATCAGAACAGATGCACAGTTTTCTTTTCTTCGTGCAGTGCTCCTCTTCGTGCACAACTGCTAAAACTAATACATAAAGCAAATGCTAACTACCAGGCTGGTGCTGCTGCGTGTTCACACTGGGGAGGGGGCTTCTGGCCAGTCAGTAATGGCGACAACACCGGGCTCCATTTCATTTCAGTGTCTAAGCGAAAACCATTCCTAAATATGTCTACACACGTTCCTTTTTTAAACGTCAGATCACTCTCTAAAGCTAATCAAACTGAAAATGAAATAAAGCCGCAAGGTGTTTGTATGTACCGGGTTTCCCAGAGTGCCGTTTATCATATGGGCAGAAGAGCCATAACCTTACTCACGCAAATATTTGAGTTTGTGCACAGAAAACACTATAAAATGTGATTATTTACCAGCGGTTGATCTGTCCGTGATCACAGCTTCACTTTGGCTGCAATGCATTCTGGTCCGTTGTTGCTGCAGTCATAGAAACTACAGAGCGTCTCTGCTAAGCGGACCTTCAGTAGAAATACAAGCTACGTTAAGATTCTCATGCACGACGGATAAAGAGTCACGGATCAGCCGCATGTTTCCCAAAAAAAAAAAAAGGATGGAAAAGACCGCAGAGTGGATCCTCATTTCTGATTGGCCAGAATCTCCCCAGTGACAGAGTTCACACACTGATGCCTGAAAATATGCAAATCACAACAACATAGCAATAGAACCACAGTTAATTCTGTGTTATGAAGACTTTGAAGGTCGCCACTTGCCAGACATTCACCACAAAGGGTTTTTTTAACGGGAAGGAAAAGTGTAAAGACTCAAATGAAAAGAAAAAAACAACCGACTTGGAGAGAATCTGGACACTTGTTTTTTGTACTGAGTGTTTTTTTTAAATTACTTTTTTTTACAAAATGGTCTTTGATCGTAATGTTTCTTTTTATTTTTTATCCAAACCTTGGCATACATGGTGGTATTGTCTCAAATTTTGTTTGCCAATTAAAAAATGGCTGTTTATGGATGATTATCATTATTGGCAATGGAACCTGTCGCACAAACAGGTTTTATGGATCTGATACTGAGTCCAATGTGACTTTAAAGGTAACTCGTGTGGGACGTTTCTCTTGATGCATCACTGTCACAATAACGGCCAGTGCTTCAGCCCGTGCGACACCACGTGCACATCTTCACGTATTGTACAGGAGAGAAAGAAGAGAAAGAGTTCACTGACGCATTTTCTCAAATGTTGAATCAAAACAAAGCATTTAAGATCAAATTACATTATGTGTTACAAGATGAGTGCAAATAATATAATCTGTTTTTCCTTGTCTTCGTTTCAAAGAGAGTAATTCGATTTTTTCAATGGGCAATAGGAAAGTGCTGTTGCCTGTTATTACCTCCACCAAGGAGGTTATGTTTCCATCTATGAAATTTGGAGAAATGATGGGACATGGGCCGAGAAAGAACTCATTACCTTCAGTAGAAAGGGGCTAAGCCAGGAATAGGGTCAGTGTTCACCAATTTCCCTAGTGAATCATGTATGGATCTTAATGACAACAAAATCTGCCATATTTGAAAAATATTTATGAGTGTCTGCAATATGGTGCAACAAAAATCTAGATCTTGTGAATTGAAATGTGGTTTTATAAGGGGACTGTTGGGCTGTGGGCTGTAAAAAAAAAGAAAACTGGAAATGCAGAAAACAAAGATGTGCACGTGGTGTGAAAAAAGGTATCGGCCTGTATTACAGAACTCTTGTATTGGGATGTTTAGCCTCTTGGCACCAGTGACAGTATTGTTGCTTTTGGACTTGGATTTGTATAACAAAGCTTGTAACAGTGACATATCCAAAGAGAAATCCCTGCACGTTGCATCTTTAACATTAAAAAGCTCACACTACCCCAGAAAAATAGAAATTTTCACTCATACCAATGACATTCAACATTCAAGTGCCAGTGTTTTTGTTTACTGTCTTTTGGTCAAGTCACTTTGTAAAATATCAACTTTTGTATTAGGCTTATAAAAATAAATATTTCTCAGAAATGCTTGATAAATTACACAAACTAGCAGCGAAAGTAGACTCGAGAACTGCGCACGAACAGCTGAATCCCACGGTTGCTGTTAACTAGAACTCCACCTGGTCCCGAAAAAAAAGAAAACGAAAAGAACTGTTTCATATGTGGAAGAACCTTTCCATACGACACACCCACACACACACACACACACACACACACACACACACACCCACACTGTATTGTTGAGAAACCTCTCCTTCTACTTCACACTCACTCACGCATACATACCCCTCGGAGGTTTTGAAGGACGTGTGCTACAGAGGACTAAAGTTACTTACTAAAGTATATTTTGTAAAACTTATCGGGGGGTTTGAAGTCTTTCTACAACAGAGGGGCCTGCAGGCCGCAGCAATGGGACATAGCACCAGTAATTGGTCACTGACCATCAAAATACTCCTGCTGGCAAGTTAAGTTACCGCAGTGACGCACGAGCCATGGTGACGCTGTCAGTGTATCTGTCGCCGTGAAAATGGTGTATACAATTGTAACCAACTTCCCGATCTGCTCCATTAGGGCTGGGTATCAGCTTTGAATCTAAGGCATCAAAAAAGGTTTTGAAAAATATTCAAAAACCATAAAATAAAGTGCTGGATTTCAATAATACAAAGTTTTCTTTCAAAGGGAAGAACTGAGCCTGTCCTGCTTCGAATTAACAAAATATACAGGGATCTTTAGGATTCATTTGCAAAAATAAATCAGTCTGGATGAACTAACTTCCGTCCATTGAGCTCTGCTACTACTGTGGCCAAAAAGCGAACGACAACAGAAGTAAGAGGAATCAAAAATGGAACACAAAACGGCAACTAAATCATGTTTTTCTGGGCCTTAACACATCTTTCTGAAAGTTTTTTAATCTGCTTGTACCATTGATTTGCACAACAGCTGAGACAATGTTTGATGTAATGTTTGAATTGAAATTAAACCCTGCGAATGCTCCGCACTTGTGCGTTTGACATCCTGGGGTGACTGTGGTGACTTCCATGCACGGTGAGGTCACAACTGTATAATTAACTTACTCTTACTCTCGTCTGTCTCAAAGTACCCAGCCCTACCCCACTTGCTCCAGGCTTTTCAAGGCACCGTGCACATCACGTCAGAATCGGAGCCGATTCCACTTGAGCCAGTTTGTGCTTTGAATCCAAACGGAGCGCAGACGGAAAAAGAAAAGAAACTTAAATCTTGGTGACGGCAAAGTGAACCAGCCACGAGTAGCTGTATCTCTATTGCACTTCCTGTAGAGGTCCAGAGCCTCGCTGTGGTGGGGAGGGGTGTTTTGACGAAATGGGGCGAAGGGGTTTGGGGCACAGTGGTAGTTTAAGTGTTGCTCCAACACAGTTCAAAAGTAACTACAGCTGATAGATACAGTCCGTCTTCCTAGAAAAAAAGGACCTAGATACATTGCATATTTATGTGCGTGCTCCGAACACTACGTCGTGACGAGATTGCTCTATACACAAGATGAAGAGTGAGGTAAACTCAAGTTCCCACAATTCCCTGCTGTAAACCGGCAAAGTTAAAAATTCCTATCTACACTACCAGCAGTCAACAACATGCTCAGACCCTGTCTTAAATCATAAAGTCCTAGCATCGGTATCACTGCATGTGAAATGCCCAGTCACTCCCCTGCAGCCTGTAATCACTCCATTATTCCAAGGTTAGTCTATCTGCCCCCTAGTGGCTGTTAGAAGGCACGGCAATGTCTACACAGAACCAGATTCTTTCTGCTACGTTTACCTCTGACACCATTTCCTTCTTGAAGGACTTGGAATTTTTATTGAACTACACCAGCTTCATATAAAGCCACAGATTCAAGTAACAAACACTGACAATTTCCCCTCGAAAACAGGGACTATGTAACAATGTCAGTTTGCGAGTGCTAATCCCGTCGTCTTCAGTCAATATTTAAAGGCAGACACTGATTTATAACAAGAGCTTGAAAGCGTCCAAATGTCCCGACTCCAAAAACAGCTCAACAACATCAACGATATGAGGATTTCGAGACGCTAATGGGTAACGCAACACAATAAAGATTGCGTATCATCAAAAGTATAATGAGTTTCAGTCTCTACGTTTCCCGGTGTCCCCAAGAAAAAGTGCAACTTAAAAGAGATCTGTCCACATGTAAAGTGAATTCTAAACTAAGCAAATCCTTCATTAGTGATTGTCATCTGCAAAACTATCTTCAACATATTGTCCAGTCACTGATTTCTGTCTCCCTGCTGCTGCTTCTTCTTCCTTTATTTAACAGTTGCTGTAAGGAATCTAAGACGGAGACTATCCACCATTGCTGCAGGAGAAGCTAAAGTGTTTTGAATCGTTTATCAGGTGCTGACATAATTTTTTAGGGACACCTCAAACAAAGTTCTGGTCAACACCAATTTAACCAGTGCTTCATTGTAGTTTAGCCATAATTTGAACAATAGAGAGAATGATGCGCTACAGTAACAGTTGAACCACACTTAAACAGCAACTGATCAAAAACGCAAACTAATTTTCAGTTTTCAGCTCATTCGGAAGGTTGACGTGGTCGATGCGTCCTCCCTCGATTGCCACAACTGTCTCTCCTGCCACAAATAGAAGCTTTTTGGAGAATCTACACAAAAAAGGTTTTGCATGTGATCTGCTGTCTGCTGAGTCCTCTGGCCTCAAACTCTTCTCGAATCGCGCCAACTACTTCGCTGAACCTCCTTATCAACTTGTACTCGAGGGACACGGATTCAAAGACTGACCCGAGCATGACAAGAAGTGTAAAAAAAAAAAAAAAAAAAGGAATAGACGACCGGAAAAAAAATGATAACTAAAGCCTGCTGTAGAATTGTAATCATTGGTTTGGCATTTTTACCTCCTTGACCAAAAAACAACAACACTTGCATGTTTTGTTGCCTTGGTCCAGCCTTGTCATGTGTCAAAGCCAGTGGGCAATTTGAGGGAATCTGATTGGGTGTGTATAAAACTGTAAAGAATAAATCTGCTGAGCTGGTTCAAATTGCCCACTGAGCTCAGTTTATCAGACACTGCGTGGTCCAATGTCGAGTGATCAAAGATAATCTTCTACACATCAAGTGTTGTTTCACTTTTAATTCACATTCTTTTTCAGTGGAGATTCTTCTCTTTCTATTTTAAAGAGCCTAACTATATACACAACCTAGATTTTTTTTATTTCACTAAAATTATTGATGTAAACAAAACAAATGAATACCCTGATAAAAAACAAAAATGTCCCCACCAGGCAGCAACAGTGCATTTTGGCATATTCTGCTGCTGATAAGAGAGTGGGGGATTGGGCTTCTACCACTGAATCATTCAAATGACAGTGGAGTTTCTCTTATATGTTCAAACTGGGACCAAACACGGACATCATGGGTGCAGGTCAACTGCTACTTGTAGCCTGGTTCCATGGCAGAGCAAAGTGGGGCTAACCAGGTATTAAGCATTAAATATATATCAAGTGTTTTTTATGCCACTTGTCCATTAGCACACTTTATCCGTCCTATATCTTACTGTGCTATGCAGACGCAAGGATTCTTTAGGATAACGTGGGACAGCGTTTGGCCAAAGCGTATTCTCTATAAACAGATTCTGCATGTGAATATGCAGAATCTGTAGAGGGACCAGACTTTGAGCAGGTTTTAGTTGCTTGCCTGTAAACAGTATGTGTGGGGAGATAAAGAGCAGGACCACATTGAACGAAACGCATTGACTATCGTTTTTGTACTTATTTGCACTCAGATGCATAGCTGTTCATAGAGATCAGCCAAAAATGTCTTGAATACGCATCCCTCTTTGTATGATACAAATAAATGCATTGGACGCATGTTGGCATGTTGGCAGCCCCAAAAATTGGCCGTTGCCCCCAGAGGATCATTTATCCTTAGACAATAGCGGAGTGGCTCCGAGATTTGTCAAAGTGTAGCACACACCAGCAGTGTTGCATCATTTCACAATAACATAGACGCACAGGAAGGAAGCGACAGTTAAGTCGCAGTAGCTGGAATGAACAGTTGCACTTTGATGCAAGTAAAATAAAATCACTAATGCCAACATGCTGCTGGTGTGCAGCTTACGTAGAAAGTGACGGTGCAGCGGCTGTGAAGCAACATGAAATGACTCCGACGTGTGTTGCCTTTAAAAGCTACTCGCGAAAATTTTGGCTGGTATCTTTGAAACGTTGCAGTGGAGAATTTGACTTCATTAGAAAAGAAAGTGATGAGACTCATATACGTTCAAAGCAATTAAAGCACCTACAATCTAAAGCCGAGTAGACATGGGTGGAATACAGCACAGTAAGACACGATGACGACACGATGATTAAAATGTGCTACAGACGTGTGGTTATATCTCCCAGAAGCCCCAGCATCTCCCTGCTGTGAAACAGATTAGGCTACAGATTCTCTACTTTTATACCCGACATCAACAGATCTGTAAGACCTAACAAATAAACTGGAATTACTTATTTTAGAGAAGACTCTTCATGTAACTCTCCAGGATAGAGTGAGCAAGATTTTTTTTTGTACTATTATAGCCGTTTTTTTAAGTTGTGTATCCCCTTGAAAGAAGCTTTTTGGCAAACAAGGGCTTTTCAATGTTTGTGGTGGAAGCGGAGCCAGTTTCCCAAGAGCATGGTGGCACTAAGAGTCAGATGAACATCCAGAGTCACTGATGAAGTTTCATAACTGTTGTTTTCAGCAGCAGCAGCCATGTTGTGGTTTTAAGTAACATTTTTATAGTGCTGCTTTGGCATCACTGTAGGATGTGGTTTCAAATTCAAGAGACTCAAATCTTGCAAGATTTTCATAGCCGAAAGATTCTTGATGCTAAAAACTTAACTGCAACAGGACAAATCTAACATAACACTTTGAGGATCATCTCTACAATTACAACCACATATTTGAAGGTAAACACTGCGGAATGCAACACGACGCATCTGCTGCTGCACAGCACAACCAAACTCTCTCTCAGTGACTCCCTGTCGAACTGTGACCCAACAGTTAGTGACAACATGGTTTTGAGAAACTCAAACTCGAGCTCAAACCAGAGCTATAGATGTGACATACAGGTCAATGAGTCGGACTTTGTTTCCCAAAGGCATAAAACCACTGCTGTTATCTCTATTTACTGCCTAATTAAGCCAAATGTAATGTTTTTTTTAATCCTTTTTAGTGGCTCTGGATGGGGGTATGTTCAAAAAGTACAGAAACGTGGTGACAGTGGTAATACGCAGTTGGGAATCAGCTCATCAGAGACCTCCAGATGAATTTGAACTCCAATAGACAGATAAGGAACAGTGTTGAGGTTCCTCACCACAGATTTTATTTAGTTTTTTTTTTTTTGCCAAGGTTTGATTTAGTTCAAGCCTAGTTTGTTTCCTTCCAAATAGAAATAAAGAAAACATGACTGAACCCATACATGACATTGAATACACATTTTTTCAGTCACAGTTGGCCGATACTTGTGGCCAGTAAAGCATAATGGCAATAAAAACAATGGAAATAAGGGACAAAAGTTCAACTGCTGAAAGGCACAGTACAGAAACAAATGATTCTCCATTATGTTTTGCTTCAAACAAAGAAATGCTATTTGTCATTGTGATATTAACAACCACTGGAAGCGCCCCAGCTCCTCGTCTCTTCAGTCTCTGCCAGACATTTTTCTCAAAACGAATGTTTTAAAAAGGTGACAAAAAAAACAAATTTTTGCGGTTTCTTTAGCCCATTTTAAGAATCTGTCGTGTAAGTGAAGTACACCTCAGCCTCACCTTTCTCCGCGCTATGTTTTAGAAAAGTTCCTGGCCGGTGATTTACAACATGGCCATGCGTTACATACAAAGATGGCGTGTGGAGGGACACAGGAAGCTGGCTTTGGGTGAATACAGACAAAAATAATAAAGCCAAAACTAAAATCTTAAACTGACATAAATGAATATCCCTCTGGTCTTCTACTACTGTAATGTAGAAGTCCACACACTGTCAATCTTGTGTGTATCATATAAAAGAACACGTAAAACTTTATAACTGGTTTTTTCTCTTCAGACGTGTCACAGAGGGGAAAATACTTTAAAATGTCCTTGCTGAAAACAAAGGATGTTGCTAGCTTGAAGTAAACCTGTGGCTAAAAAATAACCCGCTAAAATGAAGAATCCTTTTAAACTGTGGCCAATTGTAAGAGGCGAGAGTCATCAGGAACTAAGAAATCAAAAACCAAACGGAAAACTGTAACGACGAAGGGCGAGATGGAAAGAAGAGGAATTAAAAGATCTTAGCGCATAAAGATGGAAGGGGGGCTATATAAACGAGTATAAATAGTCCAATAACATGCACGTGGATTCTTTATGGAGGGGATGTAGACAGATGGAGTGCAGACAGTGTGAGGAAAGGAATGAGGATGAGTGAGAAGAAGAAAGAAGAATGAGTGAAGGAGAAGGGATGGAGGAGAGAGGAGGAACCTAGTTGCCCCACCAGTCAACTTGAGAGTGCGAGTAGTTGCCGCCGTATCCGTCACTGGTGTAGAAGTTTCCAAAACCACCTGAGACAAGAAACAGAGGAGGAAACTGATAAATAAAGAGACATAATAAAGGAGCCAGCTTTTCAGAAAACCTGCAGGTTTTATGCTTAGGTTGAGGAGTGTGTCTTTATCCTGTGCCTTCGTTCTTCATGGGTTAAAATGAGCTTTAAATGAACACACAGTCTGGTAATAGGTAGCATAAAACTGGACATTCAAATGTGTATAATGTACGTACAGAGTGATGCCAGAGGGACCATATTTACCAAATTTATTTTAGGAACATTTTTCATAAATTCTTGGCATTGGAAGAATGACCATATATCAGTTATGTGATATTGGACAGATCCTCACCTCCTCCAAAGCCTCGGGTTGCTCCATGTCCTGACTGGTTGCGACCTCCGCGTCCGCCAAACCCTCCGGTGTTTGCTCCAGCGGCCGTCTGACGATAGTCACGTGCTCCGAACCCTCCAGCGAACCTGGTGGTGAAATCAAATACGTTATTTGTATCAAATATGGAATAGTAAAACAGTGCAGCCTTTACGTGACAACTAAGATTTAGAGTATGTTTACCTCTTAGAGCGTCCTCTGTTGCTGCTCTTATGCTGGTGCTCATAGGCCAAGCTCTCAAGCCAAGAGGGAACTTCCTGTTTGGCCTCTACGAGGATGTCCAGCAGGTCTTTAGTGATGTTCCCGTTCTTATCATTGAAGAACGATGTGGCCAGTCCTACAGGGAAAAAAGAATCATGGTAATCGCAGCGATTTGTGAGGTGTGGCTCAAAATGCTGAAAGATCATGCAACAGACGTTATGTTGTATTTCCACTGACATTAGCTGGAGTCTTACCCAGGTTTCCAACTCGTCCTGTACGTCCGATGCGGTGGACGTACTCCTCTATGTCGCTGGGCAGGTCAAAGTTAATAACATGCTTCACGTTGGAGATGTCCAGCCCCCGAGCTGCCACCTGAGTACACAAGACAAAAAGACAAAATATTCAATCAATATCAATGCAGAGTTAGCATTACCGCCACTGTCTATACGTTTTTCAGTAACTGACCGCTGTGGCAACCAGAATGGGGCATTTTCCTGATCTGAACTGGCTGAGGGCCTCTTCGCGGTCTCTCTGGGAGCGGTCACCATGGATACTGGTGCAGGCGTAGCCCTCCCGATACAGGAAGTCCTCCAAGGCATCGGCGCCTTTCTTGGTCTCCACAAAAACCAGAGTCAACGAGTCCTTGCCTGATGAACCGAGAGAAAAAGACACCAGAGGTTAATCACTGAAGGTGAGTTGATGATCATGGTCATACCAACACAAACGGCAGATTTTAAGTGGCTGAGAATAAAGTGGCTTCTATGTTTAAAGCTTGGATGAAATATGACATTTTATGAATGAAGGCCAGCAGCCTTGATTGGTTTGTCTTCTGCACTAGAAGAATCAGGGGGTCACCAAAAATAATGAGGAATCATTTTTTGGAGATCAGCAGGATATAAAATTGAATGCATCTTAGGGTTAGTTACTTTTCATTCTTCTCTTGTAAATGAAGTCAAACACTAGAGACGTTTTCAGAGATGACTTCGGTGTTTTCTACATGTGTGTCACCGCTCTTTCACTGGGAGGAAGTTGGTTTTTTGTTAGATTGTTTTTTTCACCACTCACTCATGGTGACTCCAGCGGGGGATCCCCTGCTGTGTTCACACATCGACTTCTATGGACATCATACTAGGAGGCCAGGTGGATAAAGTCACTCGGACATTTGCATTCACACATACACCTCCTCCGGAGAAAATACGGAGGTGCTGCGGAGCTCAGTGCATTTCTCTAAGGAGCTTAGATGACCTTTCAATCCTTAAGGCTGCTCATGACACAGCAAAAAATAAGCATCAGACTTTGTATTTCACAACACGCTGTGGATCTGACTTGTAACTAATAGACTGTGGCACAAATATCACATATTGCACACAGAAATCCCAGGTCATTGTGCTTAACACGCAATTCCCCAACTTACTCTATCAGTTACTTTTAAAAAAGAAAGGACTTGAACGTAGGAAACATGCTTCATCACAATGACACAAGTATTTCAAATCAGTTTCTGAGCAGATTCTGGAACGTCGTACATCTACTAATAATGCAGCACTCACACGTACGTGTCGGAGGCTTTGAATGGGGTGCCGACGTGTGTTGCTAAACTGCTTTTGGGTTCTGTATTTTTACTTTGCTGGCGCTGAATGTGGTAGAAAATAAGCAGCAGTCAATCTAATGGCGTTTAAATGAATCCCCAAGCTCAAGTGAGAGAGGAGGCAGAGAAAGCTGGTGAACCTGGTGTTTGTTGATTTTATTTCCCATGTGCTTTTTGTGTAGCTTTCCATGGACAGCTAGCCCGAAAGCCGAGAAGACACAACTACCGTCAAGCACAACATGTACGTGAGAGTCCTCTTTCAGGTAGTTTAAAGTCCATGATGTGACACTTATATCTTGATAACATGCATCTTATGTAGTCATTGTTTTTATCACAATACAATTACGTCTTCTGTGCAACAGGCAGTGGGGGGTGCAGCGTGAATAAATAACCAAGAATAACTAGCTAACAGCATCGGCAGCACTGCGGCGAGAGCCACTGATGGAGAGAGTCTGGTCAAATGCTCCTGTTCCAATGGCATTACCACCTGATTATAAAGTGGCCAACATTTATCCACTTGTTAGCTGTTGACAACACCACATGACCACACTCTCTCCATCAAGGATTTGGTTCTGACATGAGGACACCACAAAGAGATGTCCAAAAAGAAAAACAACCACACAACAGGCACGTTTGGTTTAAGCTGAGCAAACCTGACCCATGAAATGATTCACAGAACAAAATAAATTAAATTAAAAAACACACGCAACACAGGATTCTTCAACCACAAAAAAGAATAATAAAGGCAAGCAATATTAATTTAAACTATGGAATGACAAGATACAGGTTCATTGATTGAGGATCTTACCAGGTTTCTCTATGTTGTCTCCCGTATTGTCCTGTACCTCGCTCGGGATGACTTGGGATAAAACCACACCAAACCACCAACATGTAAACTGCACTCAAATAGAACCAATACCAATAGAAAACCAACTGTGTGTTTAATGTTGCTCAAGGACCAAATAACCGCTTTTACTACGAAAAAGAAATTGGATAATTTCTTTACGGGTTACTGTAAAAAAAAAAGAAAAGAAAAAAAAGAATATTTGCTGATTCCTTTTGGGTAGGAATAATATTTCTTCTGCCTTCCTCAGACCAAGAAAAATATAATTGAATGAAATGACTATGATCTAAAAGCTCTGCTGGATGTTTCTTGCACAAAGCGAAAGAAAAGAAATAAAAAAAGAAACGTATTTTATCTGGGCAGTGTGTTTTTAACTCGTGTTGATGGTACCAGGTTGAAATGTGTCTATTTTCACTGAAATATGTGAACATGGGATGTTGATGGACATTACTTTGATTTAAACATGAGACACATAGTAATGTAGAGGCTGAAATGTAAGGACGACAGTACGTCAATGGTAAAAGGGTAGAGCAATTAAAACTGCACTGTGTATATGTATTTGTGTGTTTGCAGTAGCTTGACAGGTTAGGGTTACGAGTTCTCGCTGTGTGACTGTCTCACCTGTAGCACTGAGCAGGTCCAGGAGGAAAGACCTCTTATCGCTCTCTTCCACCCACACCACTTTCTGAGTGATGTTCTCTGAGGTGGAACCCACTCTGCCCACGGCCAGGAAGATGTACTCCTCCAGGAAATCCCTGGCCAGGATCTGCAGGAGGAGCAGACCAAATCTCATCAAAAGATTTTAGCGCTGGGTTTTTGTAATGGTGGAGCCAGAGGGACTGATTGCAGGAACTAAAGTCACTGCAAACACACCTGGATCTCCTTAGGAAAGGTAGCACTGAACATCATGGTTTGCCGGAGGCCTTTGTGTGGCATGGTGTCCTGCTCGACAATGCGCCTGATCTGTGGTTCGAATCCCATGTCCAACATGCGATCTGCTTCATCCAGGACCAGGTAGCTGAAGTGAAGGAGAGGCAGAGGATGAAGCCTTCAAAATAAAGCTAATTTCTAAATAATCCTCATAAAATGAAACTGAGAGAATATACAATTTTATTCATCACTCCCTCGTCCTGTCCATGTCTTACTTGCAGTAGTCCAGTCCGATCTTGCCTCTCTCCATCATGTCTACCAGTCTTCCTGGTGTAGCAACCAGTAGGTGGCAGCCTCTCTCCAGATCTCTGATCTGCTGGCCAATGTCCGCTCCTCCGTACACAACACAGGGACGCACTCTGGACCTGTAGGAAAACTAAAAATAGAAAAAGAAGGATAGAGATAAATGATAAATAATTGGGAGCAGGGAGGGTTAATGTGTGTGCATGTCCCATACCTTCCTGGCTTCATCATATATCTGCAAAGCCAGCTCTCTGGTTGGAGCCAGTACCAGAGACATTGGATACTGCTTACGACGTCCGTACTTCCCGTTCTCCTGCATAACAAAGATAAAACACCACAAAACAAAAGTTTAGTTCAGGAGTCACAGGACAGGGCTGATTGTTTCAGCGGCTCGGACATCACGTCTAACTCAAATGTGCGCTTTGAAATAATGTGTCTGTTCAGGCCACTACACAGTATGTCAGGGTGAGTCACATGGTTCTAATCAAGTATATGTGCCTCCAAAATAGAAATTCTTCAGTCCAGCAAAAACGCAGCTGCACAGTGAACACTTAGCCTTTACCTGTCCAGAGGCTTTAGCTGCATTCAAAGCTTCTCCTGGTCCCTCAGTGTAGATCTGGCTGAGAATCGGCAGCAGGAATGCTGCAGTCTTTCCAGAACCTGCAGACACAAAACCAAGACAGCATCATCTCAAGAACCTAACATCAACATATAAAAGATGTGACGCACAGATGTACAGTATGCATGTATGTCCTACCTGTCTGTGCGCATGCCATGAGATCTCTCTTTGACTTGACGATTGGAATGGCATATTTCTGGACAGGGGTCGGTCTTGTGTAGCGACTCAGAGCGATGTTACCCATGATAATCTCACCCATGTCCACGTCTTGGAACTACATAGCACAAACACAACCACAATGTTCATGTAACTGTGCAGCTGATGTATAGTACTGTTAGATTTCTAATAGATTAATTCAACCACAGAAGCTCACACTCTCAATGTGGTGGGGGCAGTTCTGCCCTGTGGCCTCAACAGGAATGTCATCATATTTCTCAAAGTTAATGCCCGTGTTACTGGCAGAGAACAGCTCACTGCAGAGGAGCAAAAGAAGAAGAGAGGCAGAGCAGGTTAGTCCAACATTCAGAAAATAATCTGACGCAGTGTCAAGCTACCTCCACAAAAAAAGTCAAACTCTACTCCACTCACCAGTGACATTTGTTTAAATACAACTTTTTATCACTCTAACATTTTGTTTTATTTGACAGCAGCATTTTGTACGTTTAGGAAAACATTGCAGTGATTTCCGAACCCTAAAAGACAGTTTTAATGATGACTGATATTCTGATATCATGATTGTTTGCTAAATTCAACTAATTGTTTTAAACATAATATTAAAAAAAAAAGATGAACACTAGGGCTAATTTAATTCTTTGTACAATTCACTTATCTATGTAGTGAATATCCAGTTCATCCATTTCCCTGACTGAAGTTTATTAAAGTATTCAATACACAAAATCCCAGACTCACTGTTCAAGGCGTTCGTTACGTGGTGTTGGTTTGGACCAATCCCCTTCATCTCGGGACTCCTCTACCCAGCGGCTGTTTCCTCCTCCTCCTCCACCACCAAATCCGCCATGCTCGAACCTGAGCATAACAAATGCGTGATACAAGATGCATGATGCTGCGATGCCATTTTCTTAATTCTGCACATCTAACTGAAATGCATTTTCACATTTCTGTGGCATCTCAATCTTAAAAGTTGTTCCAGGACAGTGACAAAGATTTTTTTGAAAAAACTAAAAAGTCCTTTGACCGACTGTGTGTCTCATGTCCTTACCTCCCTCTATTAGCGTTGCCCCTGTCATTGAAGAATGCAGACTTCCCTCGGTTGTTACCAAAACTGTTATAGGCGTCCTTGGCTGTGTTCCAGCCACCTGCATCTGAGAGATGACGGAATAAATGAACATAACAATGGAAGAGGACACATTTTTATACATTCAGTGTTGTTAGTGAAACATGAGCAATCTTTACTCTTCACCTTAAACTTTTTTGATTTTAACTTTCCCTGGCTTTCATTTTAGATTTTCAGATCCACAAAGGTGCTACAGTGTCACCAGCAACATTCCATCTTCTCTGTGGTTCTGATTTTGGATAATTTAAATTATTTGAATGTTCACAGAAGTCACCCCTGTCTGTCCCTTCCCTTAATTCCAATATGATGACCTTGGATGACAAGGATATGATAACAACCTGAAAATAATGCCCCTGGCCACAGTTAATGCTGCGCAGAGGCATAAAAGGAAAGACATTAATCATATAACTGCAGTTTGAAATGGTAATTGGTAAAGACGTTCTGAAAAAAAACTAAGATGTACGCACTGTAGAGGAAACTCTCATTTGGATGCTGGATCCCACCTTTGTTTTCGAAGCAACCAAATCCCATTGGCTGTGCTGGGTTAATGGGGTTGAAGGCTCCTCCTCTGTTACCACGGTAACCGCCTCCGCCGCCTCTTCCCCGCTCCATGCGAGGCGGGCCCCGGTTAAATGTGTTGCCGGCCATGCGGTTGTCATGGTAGCCATTTACAAAGTTGTTGCGCCCTCCGTCCCAACCAACTGTGGATGGAGAGAGGACAAAAAATGATCCAAGTATCAGAGAACTGATGTTTACCTGAGACTCAGATATTATCTCAGTTCTTCACAATGACAGAGTGATCAAGATTACAGATTCATTATTACCTCTTTCTCTGTGGGATAAAATTAACAGCAGCAATCTGCAACAATCTTTATCTCTACTAATCTTATACAAAAGAATTAATATATGATATATATATTGCGTTTACTGCAAAGTTAACATGTAAAAGTATTTATAGTTTTCTAGAGATTTCTGTTTGCAGCAAACAAATGAGGAAGTGGAGGTAGTAGTGCAGAAACTCACAGTTGGCTGGAGGCGCCATGGCGTAGACACCTTGTCGACCAGCGGCGAAGGCATTTCCTGCTGGATGGGAAGAAAGTGTTTCAATTGTGATTTTTCATCGGTGACAGATACAGTTAATAAAGGTGCCTTGTGGAGTTTTTGGCCACTTGTAGCATCACACAGCTTTGATTTGACAATGAGGAATGTTTTGGCTCATATCCTGTTGACGGTTTCGAAGTATTGCACTGACTGATAGGTCGAGGAAGAAGTAAAGTGGACGCTGAGATAGAACAGTGAACGATTTCAAACGTTCAAAATCGAGGCTTTGTGATTGTTAGGTAGGAGGTAAATAGGAAAACTCCACAGGACAGCTTTAACTAAACCTCACTCACCATTTTTGGAAGCATCTTTGTTCCGTAAATGCGGAGGAATGTATCGCCCTGTAGACAGAGACAACATCAGTGACTGAGTTTCCTTCCTTTGAGGTCTCAGAATCTGAATGTACAATAATATTAAATATAAATAGACACTCAGTGACTGTGGCGACCACTGATCGTGAAACTACAAAATGCAAAAGCATTTTAAGAAAGAAATTTAAGATGCCCTGTAGACATGCTTTTTATATATATCTACGAAACCTATGCTCCTTGGTTGAAAAGGTCTTCTTTTAGCTGTCCTGTGCGCACCTTTTCTCTTTAAAATTATTTTAACCGTTGATTTTTTAAACCATATCACTATATATTATTAATTATCTTCTTCACATGCACGGTGACCTCTTTACTCCTCATAGTGACCGACAACTCCACCTCCGCCTAAACAGCAACTCACCAGCCCATGTGTGAGGGTGTTTGTGCACGAAACCCACACTTGCCCAAGACGTGTGCAGTTGCCAGGGGTCCAGCACATAGCATTAGAGCGCCATGTCTTTCAAGGATTATGTATATCAGGGTACTTTTGGTGCGAAACACATGAGCACCAGTGACAATGAATTTTTTACTTGTAGAAAGGAATTTGTAGTAGTAGAAAATGTTGTGTCCTTCCTAAGTTGTTTTTTAGGAATATCTCCAGTTTTTCAAGCGTTGTTAATTAATTGTGGTGGTAAGACGTCCAGGTTTGTGACTGTGTGTGCACATGGATGAATAAGAGAAAAACAAATAAAATAAAAATAAATATTAATACATTTTGCCTCCTTACTGCTATTGCCTCCAATTTGTCCATCTGCAGCACTCAAGTCGAGGACAGCGAGCTGGAAAAACAGAGACAAAGAATGAGGACAAACAGTTAACACACTAATTTTCTCCAGACAATGCACTCTTGCCTTATTCTTCATCTATCCATCTTAAACCGTATCCAAGTGTTTCCATTAAAGTTTTTCCACTCAAAACTGTAAAATACACCACAGAGGTGATGACTCATGGTCTACATGTTCATTTCAAAGACTGTATAGAAAGATGAACACGAAGGCTCCCAGAAGTGAAGCCAAATCATCTTGATTGCCCCCTGGTGGCTGGCTTCAGTATAGATTGTTAACCCTGCCTCCTGCATGTTAGCAGATGGGACAGGGACCAACCTTAAAGGTCAAACCATACATTGTAAATTAAGATGGGTGACATGACGGCTCCGCAAGACTGATGCCACAGCATCTCTGCAGTACAGGTCATAAATCCCACCTCCTCCACATTAGCAGATATAAGTCAAACTAGTACACATAATATGCACTTCTTTCAAAGATGGTCACTTTAAGTAGTAGTAGGTTGGCTGATTCTTGATTCTAAATGTGCAAGATGGCCACGCTGTCTGGGATGATGCTGTTTCATTTCCAAATGGAAGGACTTGAAGAAATGCCTTTTAATCACAATTAAGTGTTAAACATCAACATTTGCTTTGGTAAAAGGTCTAAATGTGTTATTCAATGCTATAAAACAGGGTGAGACTCGATTGGTCGAGCGTGGCACCCATCCCCATCTCCAGATGACATCATCGGTGCAAGATGGCAGCGCTCTGTGTCCAGGATATTGTGGCTTCATTTCACGTCGTCCATCTTTACACACAGTCAGTGACTGATGTGCATTTGATGGCAGGAACCTTTGGGCAACATTTAGCGAAGAATGAATCAGTTTCTGCGTTAAAACCTCATCGATGCAGATTTGTTTGTGTGCATCCTGAGGGAGACGAGAGGCTGTTTGCTTTAATGAAATCACTCCCTCCAAACATCTCGCCTGTTACACGTTGATCTCTGAAACACCACCTGGGAACATAAAGTACTTTTAGTGGAGTCTGCCACACAAATGCACCAACGCTGCTGGTGACGCAGATAATATTTTTTTAAACGGGACGCAGCGGAGACGAGCCGTGCAACGCTGCGTACTGCGAGGCGGGCGGTGCGCCACGGTGTCAAACGCCGCATTGTTTGCGTGTCAGTCCCGCAAGCTGCATCCCCGCATACCTCCATTTTATTATTGCATCGAGCTGCACGACAAACGCAGTGGAGATAATAGTTCAGGGGTGCGTTTGATGTGCTCACTCGGGAGGCCCGACGGGAACACACGGACGTCACTCGTTATGAGGCTTCCTATTACAATATACTAGCTTATCTGCATGCTAAGCTAACAGACACGTGTATTAGCAACAGCTGCTGTTTATAAATTAGTCTTGACGCAACACTAACAAACAAGTAATCTAACCCAAACATTCTCCACATCCTGGTGTCTTATCCCCGCCCCGCCACTTTAGGCCATCTAGGTGCCGGAATGAAGCGCACCCGCGGCCAGCTAGCACGATAGCATCTGGTTGACGGTGTCTTTTAATGGGGGGCTAGCCGGCAAGCTAACATCCATCCCGGACATTTTAACACTTTCCCCCAAAAGCCTGACGCTGCAACACGCGTGCAAAGGACGCGGCTCACCTGCTGCTCCAGGCCGTGGGCATTCTCGATGGCCACATGACTCATAACTATGGAATATGGAGGAAAAATGTTGTCGCTGAAGATGGGGACCTCTTTGTTTGCCGGGGGTTGCTGGACGCGCTGCCGCTGCTTCTTCCCTGCGCCGTTTCCGAGGTTTCCGCGGGTGACAGTTGTTTCTTCGGCTCTCGACGGTCACGCGTGTCCGTGTCCGGTGCTACAGTTGAATTCAACGTTGCGGTGATTTGCGGGATCTTCGTGCAAACTCAGCTGTTGTTCGGTTTTGCGCTTCTAGCTTCTGGGATGAGAGGCTGTCGAGCTAGCACGCGGGAAACGGCAAAGCACATCCGGTGACGCCAAAATAAAAGTCAGCCGACGAGCGTCAGACAATATGTTAATGTGCTGGATATGTACCAAATGTAATGTGACATATTCATGGTGTTATTAATCCAAATATAGCCGTAAAATTATGAATTAAATCTTAACTCAACCAAGGAGATTTTTACTTGCTGATATGAAACTCCTAATTGAAGAGTCACTTAAATGTCTATCTATGGGTCTGCTTTCATTCTTACCTGTGGACAGCAATGACTTTTTTTAAAGCATTTTATATAAGGAAAAACTAAAAATATTCCAAAGTGCAACCCCAAAGTGCAACCCCAAATCCCTGTACTTCCGGTCTGCTGTTGGCTAACACAAGCTAACTTGACTTGTGTCATAATTAATCCAGACACCGCGAGACTTTAAACCCTAGTTTATCGTGACGTCATCGCTTAACAGAGAA